AGTCCTTTGAGTGTAGGCTTTTAGCTTCCTCATGATTGACATGCTTTGGTTTGATTTAAATTGTTGGGCTCAACACAGAAGTTACTGTGTGGTAATGGAAATATCTGTGGCAGGCAGGAAGCCAGATAAGGAGAACTACTTTCCTTAAATGCCATAAAAAAAATTATACAGAATCAACATCTTATGTAGCCTAGTCTCTAGTGCCAGTGGTTCGTGTCGGGGTAATAGTTGGTAGTTCCAAGAAAGGTGAGAGAATGGTATGATCTGCTATGATGGGTTTTTAACTTTTCCTTCATCACGAAGTGTCATTGATCTGCAGTAGTGAAACATGACTGAAGCCTTGAAATTTTGTTTACAAAAATAAAGAATGCTTGAGGAAATAGAAGAAAAGGGAGCAAAAGATACATGTTTTTTACAAGACGTGGCAGTAGGCCAAAGTCATTACCTCATGAAAATGGTAGGGTTTTCCCTAAGTCATCTAGTTAGCATGTTAATGACTAACACGTGGGAATTGGGACAAAAGACCTGCCTATAGGGGACCATAGAGCACATAGCCACTGCTTGAGTCATTTATGTTGGGTAACCTGTCACTTCAGCTGAGTTCTCTCAGAAAGAATGTACCTGGGAGCAGCACAGGGAAGATTTGATCTCAGGATATTTATAAATTATAGCTGGAGGTTCAAAAGGCATAGTCCAGAGTATTGGTGAAATTTTTAGAATCATTACAACAACAATAAGCACATTTCTTCTGAGAGAAAAAAAGCCCGAAAATCTTTGTATCTGAACAAAAATACAAGACAAGGTTTTCAGTGCAGAACTGCAGGTAACAGCAGTGGTCTTCTGTGTACCGGAGGATCTTCTCCTAGTTCAAAAGGAGTGTCAGTTCTCTTTTTGTCCATTTGCTACTGTACCACCATCCTCCATTTCTGGAGACAATATTACACCTTGAGGGATAGCTGGAAAGATTTGTGCCAGAAGTGTTTGTGAAATCAGTTATTAGTGTAATGTTTGTATTAATCAATTGGATAGAAGAGTTAAAGTTTATACATCTTTCAATGACATTTCCTTCTCAAACATCAATTTAAATAAGGAATACTTTTAAATGTCCATCTCAAAAGGATGTTTTTCATTCCTGCCTCTTTTGACCTTTTTTTTTTTTCCTTTTTGTAAAACAAACTTTTCTCCCCTCTGCATCCCTTTGCTTGGTTGATGACTTTAGAGCAGGATATTGCCTGCTTTCCTCTTCTTAAGTCGGAGTGTAAGGGGAAGGGACATGTCAAGACAGAGACATTTGAAGTGAAATGGATTATTTTCCCTTTGTCCAAAGGAGCTGAATGAAACCATGTGAGAATTCCCCTGATGCTCACATAATATTCTAATAACTTTTACTTTGCTATCAACATAGAATTCTAACACTCACCCATGACAAAAAAAACCAGAGAATTTGTGAAGGAGAGTAGTTTCCATGGTACCTAGATACGGTATTGTCATTGAAACTGGTTGTGGGAGCTGCAGTCTGGTTTCTGTAAATGCAAGTCCGAGGGTGGGCTCCTGTCAGGTTCCCCCATGCCTTGAGCTCAGGCCACAGCCTGCGCCCACTCGTACGTGGATTGCTTCTGGAATCACAAAAGGTTGAGGAGCTCGATGTTTGGAGACTTCAGTCCGGTGTAAGACTATGAGATTGGAAATTCCTGTGTTGAAAGTTAGAGGAAAAGGAGTATGTCAGAGTGATGCAATGCAGCTGTGTAACTGTAGAGTCTATGGCAAAAAAATTTCAAAAGTGCATTTAATCTTTTTTAACACATCTTGAACCCTTGGGGCGACTTGAGGGTGTTACCAGCTGATCAGAGAAAGGGAAGAGTGGAGGAGAGTTTCCCAACATTGGTCACAACAGTTCCAGAATTTCAGTCTCGTGCACGAGGTTATAAACATTATAGTTGATAAAAGGCAAAAGTAGCATTGCTGCCTAGAAGGTAAAATCCCTCAGTTTCAGGATTACTTATATCTGGGCCTACCCAGAGTGGCAGTTGCCATGTATCTGAGCAGCATTTTGAAAGCACCTAAATGCTGAAGGTTGTGGTTTTTTGGTTGGTTGGGGTTTTATGGGTGGGTTTTTTTTTTTTTTGAAAATGATGGGATGATTGATGGGTCATAGGGAGGCTTCTGGGGACAGTGGTCCCACTGCAATATGCAAGCTGTGTTTGTGCGAGCGTTTGAACTTTTCTACTCTCCTTTTAAATAAAACTCGCAGCCTGTGGTTATGGAGCAGAGTAATAATAACAGCTGTGGGCTAACAGAGGATTAAAACTGTCTTAGCGTATGAGAACATTGGTGATAAAATGCATCTGGTATGAAGTCTCCAAAGACTTATAGGATTGTATGTAAACAGTAAATATGTTTCTATGGTGCTTATCTTCTATTCTACTTGTGACTGCTGGGCTGTTTTAAGAATTTTTGTTTCTGGGTGCCAGGAGGTGAATGACATTTTCAGAGGTGTGGTTATGCAAAGAAGTTGTGCGGGACCTACACAGCCTTAAAACAGTGTGTTTTGTTGGCAAGGTTTTATAATGGTGGAGAGTTTCAGGCTTTGCAGAGTGAAAAGAAGTAAGCGAGTTACACTCTGTCCTAGCGCAGCTCTGTTTCATCATGGATTAATTTGTCTCACCTTTTTTCCTGCAAGGATTTGGTAGGGTAGGAAAGGATTATGAAAGGAAATATGGTAATGTAGCTCAAACGACACCAGCATTTCAAAAATATCTTAAAACATTTACTCTAGGCTGTAGTGTCTAGTTCAGGTTATTGAAATCCTGCCTATGAAGGAAGGCACTGCTGAGATACAATCAACCACAAACAGAAAATTATGTAGTGCCTTCAAGGGATAAGACAAATGGATAAATAATTTTAAAACACATGGGGCAAAGATATTTTAATAGATCTGTCTAGTAAGTAATAAGGTGATAAAAAATGAAAAAATACTTCTGCTCATAGGTTAAGACAACTCATTTTGGTATTTGTGACTAAGCATGCACAGAAGTCATCAAGGCTTTATGTTTTCTCATATGATTATATAAGCTCTCTTGGACTCATATAAGGTCTGTTACAAGTTAAGAGCGTATTCTTTTACCTGATCTTCAAATCCGCTTCTTCCAAAATAAGTTTGAAGCTTTTTGCTTGTAGTGCCATCATAAAGATGCCAACCAGAACTATACAGAGTTTTTCAGTGTTACATACTCCTCCTATATTTGTACAACCTTGTCCCATCTAGACAGTGGAATGGAAGAGGGAAGCCTCAAAATCACTGGTGGCGATACAGAATGTTTCAAGACTTGCTATGGAGTCATGTAAATACATTCAGTTGCTCGGTTTTTATTAATTGCATGGAATGAATTGTTCTAACATACTGCCAAATTGCAACTTGTTTATACAGTTTTTCCATTCATTGCTATTCTTTATAAATATAAAAATAGGGAACCATAAAAAAGATCTTCTGTAGGCATGCATCAAGTCTTATGCAATGTGTATAGCTTAAAAGTTTAACTTCTAATATATTCACTATTTTAGAAATATTAAATTCCTCTTGTAAACCAAATACTTGGGATACAGTTGGCTGACGACTAGCTAGGAGAATGTATGTGACTAAAACATTCCCTTTAATTGGGTTTTCGCATCTTATTTTTCCTCTTAAAATTTGCAGTTGGCATCTTTTCAACTAATATGTCTTTTGTGTTAGTTTATAGATTGTATAATACATATTTTGTATACTCATGATAATATTTCTGAGATGCTCTTCCTAAACACAACCCTCCCCAAATTTAAAAAAAGCAAACCAACTTTGATCATCTTCTGTACTTTTAGAGGATTTGCTTTTCCAGTGGCAGGTCTTGTCCCTTAAAGTTAGCCTGCATTTGCCACTTACCTCCACTTAAGATTGGGTTGAGTCATCTCGGT